CTCCCTCGCTCCCTCCATGAACTTGAACTCAGCTTGCTCTTTCTCGGCTTGGTTGTTCATAGCTGATTTTCTACCACTTCAGCCATACCTGTAGCCTGGCTTTTTGCCAGTTAATTGGAGATGATTTCTGTCAGGCTTTTCTGCCTTCATTGGTTTTGAAATTTCATCATCCACTTCTCAGCCTCCTGAGTAGCTATGATTACAGATGTGAGCCACTGGGGTGCCTAGGGATAAATTAGACTTTGGTTGGTGTATTCCTTCTGTTTTTCTAAGCATGGGAGAATTTCAGTGAATGTCCTGGGTCTGAAGTAAGATATATAATACATATGAAAATCTGTATAGTTCTCATAATATGTAATAAATTTAATACGTGTTGTAAGTGTAGTAATAGTCAATAAATATAATGAATGAATAATACAAAAAAATAAATACCCTCAAAGCAATATGCAGTAAACATAAGTATGTAGATATTAATCATTTTTTTCAAGTGTGGATGAATATTACATAACAGGGCTGGGGATTGAATTCAGGCCTAGGGAACAGGCCTGAATTGCTTGTATTCAAAGAGGGTGAGTTTCCCCATTCTCCACAGTGCATTAGAGAGTCCAGATTCTGAGTTCAAATCCCAGGCCTGGCAGAAAAAAACGGACACGAATTCCAAGGCAGGGAGGTCCATTTTGTAAACTTGTTTAACCACTTTGAAAAGTAGTATGGAGATTCCTCAAAAGACTCCACATAGAGCTACCCTATAACCCAGCAGTCCCACTTTTGGGCATTTACCCTAATGTTTACAAACAAGACCACACTAAAGCTACCAGCACAACTATGTTTTTTGCAGCATTATTTACCATAGCTAAGATATGGAACCAACCCAGATGCCCCTCAGTAGATGAATGGATCAAGAAAATGTGGTATATATACACAATGGAATTCTATGCCTCCATCAGAAAGAATGACATTGCCCCATTTGTTAGGAAATGGAAAGACTTGGAAAAAATTATATTAAGTAAAGTAAGCCAAACACAAAGAAACTTAGGTCCCATGATTTCCCTTATTTGCAATATCTAGTATATGTATGAGTCAAGCAGAAAAGGTCAGATAAAGTGATGTTAGGAAAATGAACCCTAAGATATGTATTTTAAATGTATTTTTCTTTCATGCATTTGTTTCTAATGCAATTATAAGATTATTTCTTTGTTGCTTTGTATGTCCCTCCCCCACAGTATAACCACTGCTTTCACTGTATTTGATGTCGGTGTAATTTGTGGAGGAGAAGGGGAAAAACAAGTCATTTAAATAAGGATATAGGTGGACCTGTTGCAACAATGAGAAGTGTAAGTTGTCATGTCAAAAATGAACTTTACAACTTCGAGGGGGGAGGATTAGGTGGGGGGCAGAGAGGATGGGAAGGGATGTGAAGGGTAAAAAATGGAGGAGGCTACAATGCTTGATAAGAAATGTACTCACTATCTTGCCCATGTAATTGTAACCCCTCTGTACAGTATTTTCACAATAAAAAATAATAATAAAAAATTAAAAAATATTTTATGTTTATATACTTTATTAAATTTTATTATATTTTATTTATTAATTCATTTATTTTGCCAGGCACGGGGCTTGGACTTAGGTTGTAGCAACTCTGCCTCAGCCTCCATCACCCTAAGCTGGGATGGTGCAGCTTCTGGGACCACATCCCATGATTCCCTAGGAATCAAGGCTTCAGGGGCTGACAGGAAAACAAATTGAAAACAGTACTGAAAAATAGCCTCGAATTGCAGACAGTCGGAGGTTTCTCGGTTTTCCTTCTTGCATGGTGACCACCCCGGGTCCAAATGACACCAGCTACAACCTGTAGGTCACCTGGCATTGCTGAAGGCTGGCAGGCTGGCAGCGAACCCACAGCCCAATCTGGACACCCAGGTGTTTGAATCCCTGTCATGGCACTTAAAAAGGGCTGGAGAGCCTAATAAACTAATGCCTGTTCATAGGAATACCAGAGGAATGTGATCATGTCATGGTTTGTCAATCAGTCTAACATAAAATTAAACCCAATATTTACAAGATGTCGATTGATTTTAATTTATAGTTTATTACGCATTAAAAGAATACGTGTGTGTGTGTGTGTGTGTGTGTGTGTGTGTTTTGTCGGTAGTGGGGCCTGAACTCTGGTCCTGGGAACTCTCCCTCAGCTTTTCAGCTCAGGGCTAATGCTGTACCATTTGAGACACAGCACCATTCTTGGCTTTTTCTGATCATGTGGTGCTGAGGAATCAAACCCAGGGCTCATGCATGCAAGACAAGCACTCTCACAGTGAGCCACTTTCCCAGCCCCTAAAAGAATACTATTGATTAAATAGAATTCTCACTACATACCTGTGAATCACTAGGAAGTTAGTATATGTCATTGAATACTACTAGATAGACATCACTGGAAGTATCTAAATTTCTAAATATATATTTATTTTTATACCACCGTCTGCATAGAAAAGTATTGCTATTTTGGCCAAACCTGAGTCTCGATCGCAGGTCTTGGGATCCACCTGGCATCTGAATGTGATAGAGGCTGCCATGATGACACACACCCATTCACGAATTGGACCTCCTAGGGCCTCAGTTCAGGCCCCAGCATTGCTAAAAATGTCTTCCTGGAGAAAGATTCCAAGTGTGATACCTGTTTTCCTTTTCTGTGCAAGTGCTGGGTGTCAGGTATGATGTATATAATATGTCTGCAAAGCTCCATGCTATGGAATAGATTTCAATGAATGTAATAAATGTTATAGGTGCACTCACAGTCAGTACATAAATAAATGGTAAGTAAATAAATAAATAATAAAATATAATGAATCATTTCAACAAACACGATATAAACTGAATATATGGATGTAAGTATAAATCATATAATAAACATGTCTATAAATGTTATGTTCTCCAGGACTGGGGCTTGAATTCAGTCCTAGGGAACAGGCCTGAATTCTTGTCTTCAATGGAGGAGATCTTTCTTTTCCTCCACCCCCCTCAGTGCATCAGCGTTACCCAGATCCCAAGATGCATCCCTGCCTGGCAAACAACAAAATGGCACAAAATTCAAGACAATGAGCTTTAGTAATATTATTAATTAATTTATTTATTTTTTGCCATGCACGTGGCTTTAACTCAGGTCGTGGCAATTCTGCCTCAGTTTCCATCACACTAGGCTGGGATGGTGCAGCCTATGGACCCACAGCCCATCCTGGATCCTAGGCCTCGGGGACTAACAGAAAAACAAAATGAAAACACCACCAAAAAAAAAAAGCATCAAACTACAGAAGGTCAGCAGTTTCTATTTTTCTTCCTTGCACGGTGACCATCCTGAGTCTGAATGACATGGCTGCAACCTGTAGTTCACCTGGCATTGCTGAAGGCTGGCGGGCTGTCAGTGAAGCTGTAGGTCAGTGGACACTAGGCCCTGAGTTTGAATCCTGATCATGCCACTTAAAAGGGGCTGGAGAGTCTAAGAAACTATTGCCTGTCCGTAGGAACACCAGAGAAATGTGATCAATGTCATGGTTGGATGAGTAGTCCCTCAAAATGAGTCTAGCATAAAATTAGACCCAATAATCACAGGACACAGATTGATTTTAATTCATAGTTTATTATGCATTTAAAGAATATTATTGATTAAATGGAATCCTCACTAAATACATGAGAATCGGTAGGAACGTAGTATATGTCATTGAATACTAGATAGACACCTCTGGCAGTACCTAAATATCTAAATTTATATTTATGTACCACCATCGTCATAGAAAGTTACTGTGATTTTGGCCAAATTTAGGTATTTATATTTATTTATGTACCACCATCGTCACAGAAAGTTACTGCGATTTTAGCCAAACAGGGGCTTGATTCCAGGTCTTGGGATCGACTTGGCAGCTGAATGGACTAGAGGCTATGGTGCTGACACTCACACATTCAAGAATTGGGCCTCTCAGGCTTTCAGATCACGTCCCATCATTGCCAAAAATTTTTTCCTGGTGTAAGATTTCAAGTGTGACACCATTTTTCCTTTTCTGTGCAAGTTCATAACATGTCTGCAAAGTTACATGCTATGGAATAGATTGGAATAAATGTAATAAATATTATGGGTGCACTCACAATTCATAAAATAAATGCTAAATCAATAATAAAACATAATGAATCACTACAGCAAACACAATATAGACTTAATATATAGATGTAAGTATAAATCGTATATTTGACATGTCTATAAATGTTATGAGGTGCTTGAATTGAGTCCTAGGGAAGAGTTTAGTTCATTCATGGTTCTCATAGGAAATGATAGGCAAGACGTATGGCACAACAATAATTTTTAATTAAGAGTTCATGAAGTGTGACAATAAGAATCACATTCAGAAATTGGAGTACTGATCCAAGAATCAGTACTCACATGATGTAGAGCACATGGGCAGCAAAGATGGCGCTGATAGGGAGTTGAGTGGGCAAAGCCTGATTTGCTTTATGTTCAGTGCATAACTAGACCATGGAATCTTAGGTGCATGATAGGGTGTGACCTTGACAGTGATTGTTTCCTCTCTTCCTCCCCTCCCATGCCACCCACTCTTTTTTGCTTTAAAAATGGCTTGCTCTATGTTAATAAATGAGTTTTCCTGCTTGAGTTGACTCCCCGCTGCGTCTGATTGTCTCCTGGACTGAGGGAGGCTGGGGAACGGGCGAGCTGCCGCACTTAGCTTTCCTCGGACCCTGTCTGTCTTTCGTGTGATGGAAGAAGACCCAACATCTGGCTCCCAACATGGGGCATGAAAGGAAAAATACTGACAGAGGCTAAGCAGTCTGTCAGGGTAAGTGTAACCCTTAGTATGGGCAATGCTATCTCACAGAAGAAGGAAGAGGAGGCAACATTAGGCCTAGAAGGAGTAAAGGAGGACTTGGGAAGTGAGAAGGAAAAGGAATGGGTCAAATTTCACCTAGAACACACATGACAACCTAGAACACACATGTTGCATGACAACATCTACGAAGTGTCAATATCATGCTGCTGCTTCAAAGCCGAAATGGTGAGTGGATGTGAAGTGAAATTGGATTTGGCGGATTAAGCATACGATAAGAAATGTTGTTCCAATTATTACGTGTAGGCAGTGGAAGCCTGTTGCTATGAAGAATGTTGAGCCGTACACGCTGTCTGAAATGGTAAATGAGGTTTCTATGTATTCGGAGGCTTGTAAAACAGTAAAGTAAATTCCTAAAATAATAGTAATGAAAAGGGCTTGAATTATTGGGATTCGGTTACCTTCTATGAGGCTGTGATGGGCTCATGTAATTGATACTCCGGAGGCTAGAAGGACAGAGGTATTGAGTAATGGTACGTCTAGGGGGTTTAATGGAGTGATTCCGGTTGGTGGTCAGCATCCCCCTAGTTCAGGAGTGGGGGCTAGGCTGGAATGGTAAAATGCTCAGAAGAAGCATGCAAAGAAAAACACTTCTGAAATAATAAATAGGACTATACCGTAGCGAAGGCCTTTTTGAACTACAGGGGTGTGGTGGCCTTGAAATGTTCCTTCGCGAATTACGTCTCGTCATCATTGGAATATAGTAAGGACACTAGATAGGATACCCATGAGGAGGAGCGTGACGGATTGATAGTGGAATCATATTACTATTCCTGATGTTAGGAGGAGAGCTGATATAGCTCCAGTTAATGGTCAGGGGCTGGGGTTAACTATATGGAAGGCATGTGTTTGGTGTGTCATTAGGTGTTGTCATGTAGGTATAGGCTTACTAGTAGGGTAAAGACGTAGGCTTGAATAAGGGCTACTGCAAATTCTAGGATTGTTAGAAGTGTGAGGATAATGAATGCTGCCAGCGATCCGATTGGGCTAATAGAATAGATTGCTAAGGCAGCTCCTCCGATTAGGTGAATTAGGAGGTGGCCAGCTGTAATGTTGGCTGTTAGTCGTACGGCGAGGGCTATAGGTTGGATTAATAGGCTGATGGATTCGATGATGATAAGTATTGGGATTAATGGTAATGGAGTTCCTTGTGGTAGAAAGTGGGCTAGTGATGATTTAGTTTTGTATCGGAATCCTAGTAGGACAGTTCCTGCTCATAGCGGGATAGCTATTCCTAGATTTATGGAGAGTTGGGTAGTGGGAGTAAATGAATGAGGTAGGAGGCCTAGAAGGTTTGTGGAGCCAATAAAGATGATAAGGGATGTAAGTAGGAGTGTTCAGGCACGTCCTTTTAGACTGTGCATGCTTATTATTTGCTTAATGATTGCGTTTATGAGTCATGATTGGAAAGTAGTGAGACGATTATTGATTAGTCGTTTTGGTTGTGGAAATAGGATGGATGGGAATATAATGATTGCAATAACGAGGGGTAGGCCTAAGAGTGTAGGGGTAGTGAAAGGGGTGAATAAATTTTCGTTCATTTTAGTTCTCAAGGATTAGATGCTTTGGTGTATAGAAAATTTTTGGTCTGTGGTTGTGGGTGGAAAGTGAAGGTTTTAAATTTTAATTGGAAAATAATGAATAGGGTGAGTGTGGTTCCTATAATGGTAACAAATCATGGTGATGTATCTAATTGTGGCATATCATTATGGGACAATTGGTGTCCTGTCTTTAACTTAAAAGGTTAATGCTTTAATAGCTTCATAATGGGGTCTAAAGTATTGTTGTTGATCATGATTCAAAATATTTAAGTGGGACTATTTCGACGACAATTGGTATGAAACTATGGTTGGAACCGCAAATCTCAGAGCATTGGCCGTAGAATAGTCCTGGTCGTGTAGATGATAGGGTGGCTTGGTTTAGTCGTCCTGGGATAGCATCTGTTTTGATTCCTAGTGAGGGTACTGCTCACGAATGTAGTACATCTTCTGAGGAAACTAGTATGCGGATGGGTAGATCTATTGGGAGGACGACTCGGTTGTCTACTTCTAGGAGACGTAGTTCTCCAGGTTTAAGGTCAGATGTGGCGATTATGTAGGAGTCAAATATAAGGTCGTTGAAGTCGGTATATTCGTAGCTTCAGTATCATTGATGTCCTATGGTCTTTACTGTTAGTGCTGGGTCGTTGATTTCGTCTATTATATAAAGAATGCGAAGGGAGGGTAGAGCAATCATAACTAGGATAACGGCTGGAAGAATTGTTCAGATAGTTTCTACTTCTTGAGCATCCATAGTGCTAGTGTGGGTGAGTTTAGTGGTTAATATCAATGAAATGATATATAGGACTAGGGTGCTAATAAGAAATACGATTATGAGAGTATGGTCATGGAAGTCAGTTAATTCTTCTATGATTGGAGATGAAGCATCTTGAAGTCCTATTTGAAGGGGGTAAGCCATAGAGATATATAAGTATTAGGCTTATAATTTAACTTTGACAAAGTTATGTAATTAATTTTACTAATATCTCATTTTGAGAAAGACATATTGGATATGGGACTGGCTTGAAACCAGTTTTAGGGGGTTCGAATCCTTCCTTTCTTAGTTGGCCGGTTTTACATAGGCTGGTTCTTCGAAGGTGTGGAATGGTGGTGGACATCCATGGATTCATTCAAGGTTTGTTGATGTTATTTGCACTGTTGTTACTTCACGTTTTGATGCGAATGCTTCTCAGATTATGAAAATTATTAGGATTACGGCTGTTAGGGAAATAAATGAACCTATAGATGAAATTGTGTTTCATGTAGTGTAGGCGTCTGGATAGTCGGAGTATCGTCGTGGTATACCTGCTAGTCCTAGGAAATGTTGAGGGAAGAAGGTCATATTTACACCAATAAATATAATGGTGAAGTGTGTTTTAGCTCATATGTCACTTAGTGTATAGCCGGTAAATAGAGGGAATCAGTGAACGAAGCCTCCTATAATGGCAAATACAGCTCCTATAGAAAGAACGTAGTGGAAATGGGCTACTACGTAGTATGTATCGTGAAGTACGATGTCTAGGGATGAGTTTGATAGAACAATTCCGGTTAGTCCACCTACTGTGAATAGGAAAATGAATCCTAGTGCTCATAATATGGCTGGCGATCATTTAATATTTCCTCCGTGGAGAGTAGCTAGTCAGCTGAATACTTTCACTCCTGTTGGGATAGCAATAATTATTGTAGCAGATGTAAAGTAGGCTCGAGTATCTACGTCTATTCCTACTGTAAATATATGGTGTGCTCATACAATGAATCCTAGGAATCCAATAGATATTATGGCTCACACTATGCCTATATATCCGAAGGGTTCTTTTTTTCCTGAATAATATGTAACGATATGTGAGATTATTCCGAATCCGGGAAGAATGAGAATGTAGACTTCTGGATGGCCGAAAAATCAAAATAGGTGTTGGTAAAGTACTGGGTCTCCGCCTCCTGCAGGGTCGAAGAAAGTTGTGTTAAGATTACGATCTGTTAGAAGCATAGTAATTCCTGCAGCTAATACTGGAAGGGATAGTAGAAGAAGGACAGCTGTAATAAGGACAGATCAGACAAATAGGGGTGTCTGATATTGTGATATTGCGGGTGGTTTTATATTAATAATAGTAGTGATGAAGTTAATAGCTCCGAGGATAGATGATACTCCTGCTAAGTGAAGAGAGAAAATTGTCAGGTCGACAGAAGCTCCAGCATGTGCTAGATTTCCTGCTAAAGGTGGGTATACAGTTCATCCTGTTCCGGCTCCGGATTCAATTATGGAAGATGCTAATAGGAGAAGGAATGAAGGTGGTAAGAGTCAGAAGCTTATATTATTTATTCATGGAAAAGCCATGTCGGGTGCGCCGATTATTAGGGGGACTAGTCAGTTTCCGAACCCACCGATTATAATGGGTATTACTATAAAGAAAATTATTACAAATGCGTGGGCAGTAACAATTACATTGTAAAGTTGTTCGTCTCCTAATAGGGAACCAGGTTGACCTAGTTCTGCTCGAATTAGGATGCTTAGTCCTGTTCCTACTATTACGGCTCAAGCACCGAAGATTATACTACTTCTCCCGCCTAAAAAAAGAAAGGAGGCGGGAGAAGTAGATTGAAGCCAGTTGATTAAGGTGTTTAGCTGTTAACTAAAGATTTGTAGGTTAAAATCCTATCAATCTAGAAAGGATTTAGCTTAATTAAAGCTATTGATTTCCGTTCATTAGATGTAGATGGAAGGTCTGCAGTCCTTATGGTCAGAAATTAAGTTTATGGACTTAGAGCTTTGAAGGCTCTTGGTCTAAATTAACCTAAATTTCTATATAATAGTTGTGATTATTGGTGTTAAAGGTAAATAGAAGGATGAAATAATTAATATTGTAGGGATTGTTGTTGGGGCTTTTTGGTTCGGATGGTGTCATTTGAATTTGGTATTGTTGGATAGTGGAAATAGGGTGAGGGAAGTTGAATAAATTAATCGTATGTAAAAGAATAGGTTTAGAAGGGCTATTATTGCTATGGCTAGACTGGTTGTGATTATGTCATTGAAGATTATCTCTTGGATGATCAATCATTTTGGTAGGAAACCGGTGAGGGGAGGTAGACCTCCTAGGGATATTAAGCATAAGAGGGTTGCTAGGGTTATTAGGGGGTGTGAATTTCATGTTGAAGTAAGTGATGAGGTAGTTGTGATGGACAGGGAGTTTAGTGAGATGAAGAGGGTTGTAGTGAGGATAATATAGATGATTAGGTTGAGGATTATTGTAGAGGGGTTGTAGATTATTACTGCTATTATTCAGCCTATATGGGCGATTGATGAATATGCTATGATTTTTCGTAGTTGGGTTTGGTTTAGGCCTCCTCAGCCTCCTAACAAGATTGATAGAATAGATATGGGTAGGATTAGGTTTTTTTTCTATGAATGGGGAGAGTTGGTAGAAGATTGAGATTGGAGCTAGCTTCTGTCAGGTTAACAGAATTAATCCGGATAGCAGGGGGATGCCTTGGGTAACTTCTGGGACTCACAGGTGGAATGGGGCTAGACCTAACTTTATTGCTAGGGCGATTAGTAATGTTAGGGATGTTAGTGGATTGGGTGGTTGTTGAATATCTCATTGTCCCGAGTGGTGAAAGTTGTTTGTGATAGCGAATATTAGGATTATGGATGCAGTTGCTTGGGTTAAAAAGTATTTTGATGCAGCTTCGGTTGATCGTGGATTTTTATTAATTGTTATGAGGGGAATTATAGATAATATGTTGATCTCTAGACCCACTCATGTGAGTATTCAGTGTGAGCTTGTTATTGCAATGGCAGTGCCTAGAATCATAGTGAATATAATTAGAATAAATGCAATGGTATTAATTAGTATGGGAAGGGTTGGAACCAATGTTTTCGGGGTATGGGTCCGATAGCTTAATTAGCTTACCTTACTAGGATTTGGTGTAATTGGTAGCACGGAGAAATTTGAATTCTCAGGTTAGGTTCGAGTCCTAAAGTTCTAGAAATAAGAGGACTTGAACCTCTATGTTTTACTCTATCAAAGTAGCTCTTTTGTCAGACATATTTCTATAATATTGGAGGGATGCTTGCTGTGGAGATTGGGATAGCAATATACCATATACATAGGGCTAGTTTTAGTGGTAAGAAATATTTTCATAATAAATGTATTAGTTGGTCGTAACGGAAGCGTGGGTAGGATGCTCGAATTCATAGAAATATTGATGATAGGATTAGTGTTTTGACAGCGAAGTTGCATGAGTGAACACACATGCACCATGGAAGTCAAAACGAGGGGCAAAGTTAGTTCCTCTGATTCAGATGCCCCTGATGGTCATAGGTCCCCTTTTTATTCCCCCAATTGGAGGGGAGGTATGGAATCCTATGCGATCTGTGAGAGATACCTGCAAGACGCGGACACCTACAAACCATCAACAGAGGGGCGGAGTGCTGGGGAAGTAACCTACTAGGAGGTCTACCCTGGAAGGGAAGGGCCACCTGAGAGCATGGACCCTAGGCCACAGGATTTGCTTCCCCAAGCGTATCCGGTCAATCTGGCACCAGGAGCAAACAGGCCCTTGGAATGGTATCCATGGGAAGCTAAGGATCTTAAAGAGCTCTGCAACAAGGTGGTGGAAGATGGCCCAAACTCTCCTTGGGCCCAGAGCTTATTACAGGACATTGCTTACCACCCAGGTGTCCCTAAAGCCTGGCTGGATGTGGCTAAAGCCGTCCTCACCAGTTCTCAGTTTATTAAATGTGTGCTTTCTTTAAGGAGGAATGCAGAGGGCAAGTAGAAAATAATTGTCAGGTTCAATCCACGATACCTATTACTTATGCCATGTTAACAGGGACGGGGAAGGGTACTCCACTGGCGTCAAACAGGCAGCAATACCTGGCCCGTACCATGACCAGGTGAGGCAAGCAGGACTGGCTGCGTGGTACAAACTGGATGATGGCCCTACTGAGTCCTCCATAGCAGGAGTGAGGCAAAAACCTGGTGAGCCTCCAGCTGAGTTTGTAGACTGAGTCCAACAGAGCATTCACCACAAGCTGCCAGCAGGGAACCTCTGAGATCAGTTTGTAAAGCTACTGGTCTGGGAAGGGATGAATTCAGACCACTACATGGCCTGTGTGGGATTGAGAGAGCATTCACTGAGCAGATGGGTGGTGACCTCACAGGTTGTGGGGATGCAACAGCACCAGTCCCAATCACTAGCTTTAGCTTTACAGGCTCAGACATCTGCAATGACTGAGGCTAATGCCCAGGCGCTGGCAGCCCAGGGCCGAGGAACCCCAAGATCATCGGGGAGAGGGACTTGCAGGGTGTAGGGGGTAATTTCCCACCCCACCCCCCAGCCGTTTGGCGGGGGGATTGTTGTAAGCAGTCCTTCTTAAAGTGTCTCTCTTGCAAGTCCCTCTCTCTGATGATCAACCCAACAGTGACCTGGACAGTGATCAGCGCTGACAATGCAGAAATCATCAATAGACCACAAGAGAAGATGTACCTTTGACCTGGAGGCCTGACCTTTATTTTGATTACCACCCTATGTCATTATGTATGGACCATTTAATATTTCTGTAGGAGCCACTTATTTTGTGTTACTTGCTCTAATTGTTCTTTTACTACTTGCTTGTACAACCACCTTTTGTTATGCTTTCCTGTAAACATGTCTAAAATCTGCTCCAGAACAACCCCCACCTCTGGACTCTGAAGTGGTAAAGACTGCTCTCCCATCCCTGGCTAATGCTAAAGGACTGCTAATGACATTGCTTGGCCTGGGAACGCTTTTGCTAATTGTTTTCTATGCCTTACTTGCTTTATACGTGCACTGCAAAACTCTTATGAGCTTAGCCAGCCAGTTACATAAGATCAAGCTCCAAGTGAATAAATTTCCCCCGAGAGGAATCGCAGCCAGAGATGGATAAGAGGGGGTGTCAGTCTGGCCAACCTAAGACAGGGCCTTCAGCTTCGCTCTGAAGAAGTTCCCGATGACAGATCAGGCAGACAAGGCGATCCACCCAACCTAAGATAGGCGGGTTCGCTTCCTTAAACAAAGACAGGGGAGATGCTGGGAGCCATTTGGAGCTTAAAGTAAAGCTCAAAGTCATCTTGACCCCTGTGCTCACTTAAAGGCACGTACAAGGAACTGGCTTACTTAAAAGACACCAGGTGCCCAGTATTGCTCTGCTATGTCTGCAATTGGTTTTAAATTTTCCTTATTTTTCTGCACTATAGTAGAATGGCAGTGTGGGCACCCACAGGGATGCACCATGCCGCATGTGTGGAACTCCCAATACCCAGGGTTCTCCCAGGTTCTGAAGAGGATGACCTTACGAGATACTGACTTTTATATATGCCCAGGAATTAATTGAACTGCTTTGGACATTTCTAACTGTCGTGGGATTGATGTTTATTATTGTCCTAGATGGGGATGTGAGGTAACTGGGACGGCCTCTTGGCTCATGCACAAGGGCCCTCCTTATCCTTGTCTGGCGAATCTCAACACCCAGACTTGCCTCAAACCCCCTGCATGGCCAATGCTATCCTTACCAATGGAATCCTTTTAAAATAACCTTTACAGCGGAGGGGAAAAGATAACTAACTTGGAGGTGGGTCTGCCATTAAAACAAAAAAGAGGGAATCTATAGAGCACATGGGCAGCAAAGATGACACTGAAAGGGAGTGGAGTGGGCAGAGCCCGATTTGCTTCACAGTAAGTAACCAGACCATGGAAGCTTAGGTGCATGATAGGGTGTGACCTTGACAGTGATTGGTTCCTCTTCCTCCCCTCCCATGCCACCCACTCTTTGTTGCTTTAAAAACGGCTTGCTCTGTGTTAATAAACGAGTTTCCCTGCTTGAGTTGACTCCCTGCTGCATCTGATTGTCTCCCAGGATGAGGGAGGCTGGGGAACGGGCGAGTGGCTGCACTTACCTTTCCTAGGACCCTGTCCATCTTTTGTGGGATGAATGAAGACCCGACAACATGGTAGGTGGGATTCTAACACAGCTAGCCACAACTCCTACTCTATCCAAATAGGTATTCAGCTTATGAATGGATGAATATTGTGCCCCACCCCCACTCCGGGGCTCAATCTCAAGTCCCGGGAACCCCCTAGCTCCTTAGTTGCTCACAGGCTGGTATCCTCACCTAGACCCTTTCGCCAAATGGGCCTGCTAAGCTCTGAGTTCAAATCCCAATACTGCCAAAAGATGAAACCTAATGTGAGAAGCCCATCGATCCACCTGTTTTCCTGTCCTGTGAAAGTCCTGGGTCTCAGGGAGGATGGAAAATTCTATATAGGCAACTCTATAACCATAGGAAAAATTTGTTATCAGTTATGTCTGTCATCATACTCAATAAAAAACAAATGCATCCATGACTAAGACACACAATAAAAAGAGTAACTACATTGAACTCATGATGCATTCCATACATATATGTAAATAGAGATCCTATGTGTAAAATAGGTGGGTACATTATTTTTTCCAGTGCTGGGGCTTCAATTCAGGACCTGTGACCTGGCCTGATATTGTAGTCTTCAAGGATGGTGAGCTTCCATTTCCCCCAGAGTGTTATAGATTTACCCAGAACTGAGTTGGAATCCCAGCTGTGGCAGAAAAATGGTGCGAGTTCTGAGCCAGGTTTTATTATTATTATTATTATTGCCAAGGAAAGGATTTGAACTCAGTTTGTGGTAACTCTGCCTCAGCTTCAATCACCTCAGGGTGGTGGGCTGCCATGGGCCCATTGCCGATCCTGGGATACTAGGCCCTGAAGTCTTGCAGGAAAACACACACACACACACACAAACACACACACACACACACAGAGTATGATATATATATATATATATATATATGTATGTATGTATATATATATATATGTATATATATATATGGAGAGAGAAAGAGAGAGAGAGAGAGAGAGAGAGGAAAGCCGCGGGATGAATTTTTACATTTTGTTCCTTTCCAAGGTGACCATCCTGGGTCTTAATAACATGCCTACAAAGAGTACTTCACCTTGCATTGGTGAAGGATAGTGGGCTATTGGGGAAGCCATAGGCCCATGCAGCAATGTAGGCCCTGAGTTCGAGTCCTGGTCCTGACATCTACCAATATGTGGAATTCCCAAGATACTCGTTCTTATGCATCGAAATACCAATGGAACGTGAGCAAACTCATGATTAAATGAGAAGTTTCTGAGTGCATCAATAAGTCTAGTCTAAAATTAGATGCAATGATCCTAGGACGCTGATTGATCTTAATGAATAGTCTATTAAGCATGAAAAGAATCCTATTCCTTCAGTGGTGGCATAATAACTACCTAAGAGTTGGTAGGAAAGTAGTTGATATACTTGAATCCTAGGCAGATGTCTCTGGTACTCTATACAAATATATATTTATTGGTATACTACCAGCTGCCTATCCATGTATGGCTATTTTGTCCAGTGCTGTGGCTCAATTACATGGTCTGGGAACTGCCTGGCAGCTTCGTGGGCTAGAGGTTGCCATGTTGACACACCCATTCATGAATTGGGTCTGCTAGGCCCTGAGTTCAGGTCCCAGCACTGCCAACAACTGGATCGTGGAGTAAGAAGTGGAGTGTAACACCTGTTTTCTTTTTCTCTGAGTGTCCTGGGTGTAATACATGAAGGAGAAAATGTATACAAATCTAGATATATGTGATATAATGTCATCAATATAATAAATGGAATGTCTGTTATCACAGCCAATAAAATAAGTGGTAAATAAATGAATAAAACAGAAATACAATAAATAACCACAACAAACAAGATATGGACTGAACATCTATAGGTAGGTACAAATCCTATCTTTACAATGTATATAAATAGTGTGTTTCCCAGGGCTGGGTCATGAATTCAGGCATAGGGAGCAGGCCTGACTTTCTTGTCCTCAAGCATGGTGAACTTCCCTTTCATTCACAGTGCTGCAGAGTTACCCAGACCCTAAATTCAAATCCAAAGCCTTACAGATAAAACGGCACCAATTGCAAGCCAGGGAGTTTTTTGTTTTTGTTTTTTTGTTTTTTTTGTTTTTTTTGCCAAGCAAGGTCTTGAACTCAAATCATGGCAACTCTGCCTCAGCTTCCATCACCCTAGGCTGGGGTGCAGCCAGTGGAACAACAGACGATCCTGGTATCCTAGACCTCCAGGCCTTGCGGGCGGGGGGGGGGGTGGGGGGGGATGCACAAAAAATAAGTGGTGGGATGGCCTTTTTAGATTTTGCACCATGACCATCTGGGTCGGAATGACACAGCTCCAAAGGGTACTTCAACTTACATTGCTGAAGGCTGGTGGGCTATTGAGCTATTGGGCCATAGTCCTGCAGGGCAATATAGGGCTAGAGTCGATTCCAAGTCATGTCACTTCTGGATGATGGGAGATCCTAAGAGACTCGTTCCAATTTATAAGAATAACGATGGAATGTTTTAAATGTCATAGTTAAATGAGTTGCTCGTGAATGATACTCGTATAAAATTAGACATCATGTTTCAGTCGTCTGGTTGATTTTATATAATATGAAACATTAAAAGAATACTCTTTTTTTTTTTTTTTGGTCGGTCGTGGGGCTTGAACTCTGGGCCTGGGCACTGTCCCTCAGCTCTTCAGCTCAAGGCGAGCGCTCTACCACTTGAGCTACAGCGCTACTTCTGGTTTTCTGGTGATTTATTGGAGATAGGAGTCTCACAGTCTTTCCTGCCCGGGGTTGGCTTTGAACTGTGATCATCAGATCTCAGCCTCCTGAGTAGCTAGGATTACAGGCGTGAGCCACCAGCGCCCGGCTAGAATACTCTTTCTTATAGGGATGCAATGATTTCAGGACACCGATTTTCTTAAGAGTTTATTTATTTATTTTTTATTGTGAAAATACTGTACAGAGGGGTTACAATTACACGGGAAAGATAATGAGTACATTTCTTATCAAGCATTGTAGCCTCTTCTTTTGTTTCCCCTTCCCTTTCATTGCCATCCTTCTCCTGTCTCCCCACTCAATCCTCCCCACCCCCCCTTCCCCACCTCACCCCCTCAACAAAGTTGTAAAATTAGTTTTCAACATAACGACTTGTACATCTCATTGAGGATGAAAACAATAACATTAATTACATGGAGGTATAATAATACCCAAGAATTGTTAGGAATGTAGTCTATATAACTGAATAATGGATAGACATCTCTGGCACTCTATAAAGATATATATTTATTAGCGTACTACCATCTGAGTGTCAATCTGTTCTTATTTTGTCAACCGCTGGGGCTCTATCTCAGGCCCTGGGAACTTCCTGTCAGCTCAATTTGCCCCAGGATGGCATGTTGACACTGACCCATTCATGAATTTGGTTCTGTAGGCCATGAGTTCAGATGCCAGAACTCCCAAACAATGAATCGTGGAGTAAAAAGCTGATGGTGACACATGTTTTCCTTTTCTGTGAAAGTCCTGGGTGTCACATTTGAAGTAGGATACATATGCACACCTATATCCTATGTAATCAACGTAATCAATGTTCTATGTGCCATAATAGACAATAAAATAAACAGTCAATACATGAACAAACAAAAAATAAAATGAATAAATATACTGAACTCAATATGTACATACATATGTCTGTAAATATAAATCATATATTTAAAATGTACGTGAATAGGATTGTATCTGGTGCAGAGGCTCGATTTCAGGCCTAAGGAACAGACTTGAATTTCTTGACTTCAAGGAGGCAAGCCTCTCCTTCCCACACAGTGAAACAGAGTTACCAAGAACATGAGTTCAAATCCCAGTCCTGGCAGAAAAATGGCATCTCTATGCAATATGACACCCAATTCTTAGGTATTTCATTCTGCCTCCATTTAATGAATGTGATTGTTTAAATGCTTAATAAAGTATTAACTAAAATCGATCAGTTTTGTATAATTGTGTATAATTTTATACTGGAATCATTCAAGAACTGCCCATTAAATCATGACATACATCATATTCCATTGGTATTCATATGGATGAAATGAGTTTCTTAGGATCTCCTGCCATCTGGAAGTGGCAGGACCAAGATTCAAACTGTGTGCACCAGCTCCCACCACTTAAACCTGAGGATTGGGAACTCACTGGTCTGTCTAAGAACATCAGCAAGACCAATGATTAGCCAGGCACTACTGGCTGTCAGCAGTCCTCCTTGATACTTACAAGGCTGTGAAAGGAGGGTCATGTTCAAAGTCACCGTAGGCAGGAAAGTCCTTGAGACCACTGTCCAACTTAAGTGGCAACAAAGCCACAAGAAGAGATGTGTGTCTCACATTAGCCTTGATCAAATGCAGCTCACAGACTGTGCCCAGATCCTGAGTTTAAGGTCCAACAAACAGACATGCACAACAATTTGTGCAGCCATCCAGATAAAGCAGGTCACCCTTTTGTCCCCAACTGAATTGGACAGAGTTCCCTGGGAAAGGGTCTGGCAAAGCTGCTGTCATCTTTACTCCTCCCATGCTGCCTGCATCACAGGATTCCAGCCACAACCCCATTCTTTCATGGTTCTTTCTGACCAATGGGATTCAAGAATGCTGGCCACGCCCACATTCCATGCTGCCCTGTAGCACCAGAATTCCCTCTGTTGGTTGACACCACTACTGGCCATTGAGGAAAGTAGAGGTAGCTGAGTGGTGAGCAAGAGATTCGAGGAAACTTTGGAGTAGGTTAGGATATTGACGCCTAGTCACTGAGTGAGAGAAGAAAGGATTTCCCAGAGCCTGGGAATGTGGCCATCCCATCTTTCCCATCACAGCTCTCAGATGTCTGATACAACAAGATTCCGTGAGAGAGCTGAGGACAAGAACAACTACAAGAACACCAGCAGAAGAATACTCCCATCAGATCTGCAACATTCAACAAAACAAAGAACACGAAAAAGGGAGGGATGCTCAAGACAAACATCATCTTATAAATATGATAGAAACAATTGAATAAAAGGAAAAAAAACAAAAAAATTTGAATACTTATCTTGGGGTTCATTCCACTAATATCAACTTATCTGAACTTTTCTGCTTGACTCAGACATATAATAGATATTGCAAATAAGGGAAACCATGGGACCTATGTTTATTTGGGTCTGGCTTACTTCACTTAATATAATTTTTTCCAACTCTTTCCATTTTCTAACAAATGTGGCAATGTCATTCTTTCTGATGGAGGCATAGAATTCCATTGGGTATATATACCACGTTGTCTTGATCCATTCATCTACTGAGGGGCATCTGGGTTGGTTCCATAACTTAGCTATGGTAAAAAATGCTGCAATAAAAATAGTCGTGTTGGAAACTTTAGTTTGGTCTTGTTTGTGATCATTTGGATAAATGCCCAAAAGTGGGATTGCCGGGTCATAAGGGAACTCTATGTGGAGTCTTTTGAGGAACCTCCATACTACTTTCCAAAGTGGTTGAACAAGTTTACACTCCCACCAACAATGCAGTAAGGTTCCCTTCTGTCCGTATTCCCTCCAGCAGCTGTTGTTATTAGAATTCTTGTTTATAACCATTTTAACTGGAATGAGGTGGTATATCATTGTTGTTTTGATTTGCATTTCTTTTATGGCTAGAGAGCTTGAGCATATTTTCATGTGTCTATTGGCCATCCTTCTTTCTCTTCAGAGAAGTTTCTCTTTAAGTCTTTAGCACAGTTATTTATTGGGCAATAGTTTGTTTGAAGATTTGTTTTGTGGGGATTTAAAATTTTAAGTTCCAGGTATATTTTAGATATGAGACCCTTGTCTGTTGTATGCCTAGTGAAAAATCTTCTCCCAATCCGTGGGCTTTCTATTGATTTTGCTAGCTTTATCCTTTGCCATGCAGAAGCTCTGAAATTTCATGCAATGTCAATTTTCCACCCTTTCTTTCATTTGGTGTGTTTGTGGGTCTTTATTAAAAAAATTGCGGCCTGCACCAAGGAGGCTTAGGGTTTCTCCTACTCCATTCTATAATGTTTTCAGAGTATCTGCTTTGACTCTGAGGTCTTTGATCCATTTATAGTTGATTCTGGTGCAAGTTGATATATAAGGATCTAGCTTTAGTTTTCCACAAGTAGTTAACCAATTTTGCCAGCACAATTTACTGAAGAGACTGTTTTTCTTCCATTCTATTTTTGTTAGCTCTCTTATTGAAAATTAGATGGCTACAGGTCTTTAGGTTCATTTCTGGGTTTTCAAGTCTATTCAATTGGTCCTGCAGTCTGCTCTTGTGCCAGTACCACTGTTCTTTCTGTTAAAGATTGTTATTGTTATTCGGGGTCTTTTATTGTTCTATATCAATTTTTGGATTGAGTCTTCTATTTCCCTGAAGAATGAAATTGGAATATTGATAGGTATCACATTGAATTTGTAGATAGCCTTGGGAAGTATTGCCATTTTCACGATGTTGATTTTTCCAATCCAGGAGCATCGGAGTTTTTGCCACATTCTAAGTTCTGTTTTGATTTCGTTTTTCAGGTTTTTAAAGTTTTCATCATAGATGTCCTTCACTTGTTTGGTTAATTCCTAGGTATTTTATTTTTTGTGGAGCTATTACGAATGGAGTTGCTTTCCTGATTTCAGCTACACTTTTCTCATTGTTGGCATATAGAAAAGCCATTGATTTTTGAAGGCTAATTTTATACCCTGATACTTTACGAAAGTTTTGAATCACCTTGAAGAATTTGAGAGCAGAATCCATGGGATTCTTTAAATGCAAGATCATCTCATCTGCAAAGAGGGAAAGTTTTACTTTCTTTTTCCCTATTTGGAACCCCTTGATGTTTGTATCTTTTATTATTGCTGTCGTTAAGCATTCCAATACTGGATTGAAGAGCAATGAAGTGAGTAGGCATCCTTGTCTCATTCCTGAGTTTAGAGGACATGGCGTTAATTTTTCAACATTGAGCATAATACTGGCTAGAGGTTTTAATATACAGTCTTTATTTTATTGAAGAAGGTTCCATGGATACCTAGTCTTTGCAGAACCTTCATCACAAAGGGGTGTTGGATCTTGTCAAATGTTTTCTCTGCATCTATTGAGATAACGATGTGGTTCTTATTCTTGCTCTTGTTGATGTGATGAATTATGTTATTTGATTTGCGTATTTCGAACCAGCATTTCATCCCTGAAATGAATCCTGTTTGATTGTGGCATATGATTTTTTGGATGAATTGTTGAAGTTGATTGGCCAAAATTTTGTTGAGAAGTTTTGCATCAATGTTCATCAAAGAAGTGGGTCTATAGTTCTCTTTCTTTGATGAGTCCCTGCCTGATTTTGGGATGAGGGTTATTATAGCTTCATAGGATGAATTTGGTAGTGAACTTTCTCTTTCAATTCCATTTAAAATTTGAAAGAGTATTGGTGTGTGTTCTGCTTTGAATTCCTTGTAGAACTCTGCTGTAAAACCATGCGGTCCTGGGCTTTTCTTAGATGGGAGGTCTCATTGCTGTTTCTATTTCAATGCTTGATATGGGCTAGTTAAGATGGTTTAACTCATCTTGATTTAGTTTTGGCATGTTGATATTTGCTAGGAAAAGGTCCATTTCTGCCAAGTTCTCAGACATATTAGCATAAATGTTTGAGAAGTATTCCCTTATAATGTTCTGAATCTTGTTTGTTTCTGTGGTGATATTTCCATTCTCATCTCTGAGTTTATTTATTAGGGTGTATTCTCTTCTTTTTCTGATAAGATTTGCTGGGGGTCTATTTATTTTGTTGATTTTTTAGAAGAACCATCTCTTTGTTTTGTTGATTCTTTCTATTTTTTATTCTAATTCATTTAATTCTGATTTAATTTTAATTATTTCTTTCCTTCTACAAGATTGGGGTTCATCTTGCTCTTTTTCAAGGAGGCTCAGCTGTCTCATTAAATTGTCAATTTCGGATCTTTCGAATTTATTGATGTAAGAACTCAAAGATATAACTTGCCTGTGAGTACTGCCTTTGCTGTGTCCCAGAGGAGCTAGTAGTTTGTGTGCTCATTTATGTCGAATACCTTGAGCACATGAATTTCGTTTCTAATCTCTTCCATGACCTTCTGGTGGTTCAACAGTGTGTTGTTCAGCCTCCATATGTTACAGGACTTTCTTTGGTGGCTTTTGGTGTTGAGTTCTAATTTTTTTCCCTTGTGATCTGAGAGAATGCAAGGTTTTACTACAGTGTTCCTGAATTTGGAAAAGTTTGCTTTGGGACCTAAAATGTAGTCTATTTTGGAAAATGTTCCATGTGCTGCTGTGAAGAACGTGTATTCTGATGATGCTGGGTGAAATATTTGGTAGGTGTCTGTTAAATGTAGTTGCTCTATGCAGTTGTTTATATCTCCGGTTTCTCTGTTGAGTTTTTGCCAAGTTGATCTATCTAGTGGGGATAGTCGTGTATTAAAGTCCCTGACAATTAATGTATTTGGATCTAAATGAGATTTGAGAGAAAGTAGTGTTTTTTGCATAAATTTGGATGATCCATTGTTTGGCGAATAGAGATTTAGAGTTGTAATAACCTCCTGAAGTAGAGATCCCTTAATTAGTATTGAGAGACCTTCTTTATCTCCTCTAACTAATTTTAATTTGAAGTCTATTTTATCTGATATTCGTATTGCAACTCCTGCCTGTTTATAGGGAGCTGTTTGCTTGGTAGATTTTGTTCCAGCCTTTCACATTCAAAATGTGTTGTTTTTATGGACAAGGTGGGATTCCTGAAGGCAATAGGTAGAAGGATCTTCCTTTTTAATCCAACTAGTCTACGTCCCTTAATTGGAGAGTTAAGCCCATTAATGTAAAGAGATAGGACTTAGAGGTATTTGGGAGTTCCTGCCATTTTATTCACCTTCTTTAAGGCTGCTGCAACTGAGTACTTCCTATGGTTCTTGGATTCTCACCTTGGGTGCGGTTTCTTGGTGTTTATTGTGGTCTTGTGGGTTTTCTATGTGTAGGACATCTTTAGGTGTCTTTGTAGAGCTGGTTTGGTGGAGATATATTGTTCCAATTTTTCTTTACTATGGAAGTTTTTTATTTGACCTTCGGATATGAAGGAGAGTTTAACTGTGTACAGTATTCTTGGTTGATAGTTGCTTGTCTTTAGGGGATGGTATACATCATTCCAGGCTTTTCTTGCTTTAATTTTCTCTGCTGAGAAATCTGAGGTGATTCTCATTGGTTTCCCTTTATAGGTTATTGATCTTTTCTCCTTGACAGCCTTAAAGATTTTTTTCTTGGTCTGAATTGATCCTGTGCGGATAATAATTTGACGGTAGGATGTCCTGTTCTGGTCTGGTCTATTTGGAGTTCTAAAAGCTTCTTGTATTTGAATAGCCCTGTCTTTTTAATGTTTGGGAAGTTCTCTGCTAGGATCTTGTTAAACAAATTTCCTAGACCATTAACTTCTGTCTCTAGGTGTTCCTCTACACCCATTATCCTCAGATTAGGCCTTCTGATGGTGTTTTCCAAATAGATTTGAGGAGATATATCATATTTCTAGGATTTGTCTTGGATGGTTTTATGTTCTTTCTCTATAATATCTAGGCTGTATTCAATCCCTGAGATTCGATCTTCTGCATGGTCTAACCTACTGTCAAGACTTTCTACTTCGTTTTTTATTATTTCTTCTAATTGGTTGACTTTGATGACTTCAAATTCTTTGTTGGAACTTTGTTCTAGATCTTGTAAGAACTTCTTTACTTCCTTACTTTGGTGCTCAGTGTTTATTCTCAAATCACTTAGTTGATTGGTTATGGTTTCCTAGGACTCGCATTCCTTCTGTTGTTTTCCAATGAGCATTCCCTTTGCTGTCTCACTGATTTCTTTCAGCTCTCTGTTTCTGTATTCCACTAATGCCTCCATTGATCTTTGTCTGTTCTCATCCCGATCTCTCAGTTCCTGTATTTCTCTTTGATTAGCATCCCCACGTTTACACATTTCCTGAATTTCTCTTTGAGTGTCCTCAGCCTGTTCACGCCATTCCTGACTTTCTCTTTTTCTGTGCTCAGCCAGCTCACGTAATTGCTGTCTATCTCTTTGACTGATCTCAACCTGCTCACACAATTCCTTTATTTCTCTTTGAGTGTTCTCAATCTGCTCATGAAATTCCTGTATCAATCTTTGAGTAGCTTCCTCAAGCTAATGCTTCTCCTGTATTGATCTTTGGTTTGCCTCCTCTTTCTCCCTATCATGCTCACATTGAGACTTTTCCAGGTTTTTTTTAACTCTTTTCATTTACCATGTTTACCTGTAGTGTTTGTAGAGCTTTTTGAGAACTCTCCTCTGGATTATTCATTATCTCTTTTCTCCCCTGATTGTCATGAATGGGAGTTGAGAACCCCTTGCTTGACATTTTTCTTGTGTTTTTCCGGCTTGTTCTGCCCATTTGGGATGAGAATAACACGTTTTTTGCTAGAACACTATTTTAAGGTAAGCATAAACCAAAGTCCGTAGTTGCACAGTCAAAAGTCTGCAGATACAATCTGGTTCAAGAGATACAATCTATTGAACATCAAACAACTATGTCTTTATGGCCTAAGAACAGCAAAGGAGAATTTGGCAACCAGAAATTATTAGGTTTAGGTAAAATTTGGGGAACAATAGGATTGGAGGGATGTGGGAAGGTGAGGGAGAGTGGAATTAACCGTTTCCTCATTTCAAAGAGGGAAATTGATTGGAGAGAATGATAGCAGCTACAGAAAAAATAGTAAGAAAAAAAAGAAAAAGGAAAAAAGACAAGAAAAAAATGGAAAAACACAAATTTAATATTAAAAAATGAAACCCTTAAAAACTGCGAGTTTGAAGAAGTAGTATTCAGAGAAGAATGGGGATGGGATGAAAGGAGGGGAGGCATAGAAAAGAGACATGAAAAACGAAAAATAAAGATGTTTTAAAATATTATATGGGTATAAATAGGTAATACTGCTATTAAAGAGGTTTTGAATTGAGTAATAAATTTCTGGATTAAGTATGTACACGATGTAGGATAAGATCTAATAATCAATGACGGGTATATTTGAGGTTGACCACAACAGAAATTAAGTCATGCAGAAACGAATAAAAGAGAAGTGAAAAGAATGAGAACAGAAAGACAGAAAGAAAGAAAGAAAGAAAGAAAGAAAGAAAGAAAGAAAGAAAGAAAGAAAGAAAGAAAGAAAGAAAGAAAGAAAGAAAGAAAGAAAGAAAGAAAGAAAGAAAGAAAGGGAACAAAAGTTCAGTAGAGATTAAAAAATAAGCACACACCCATATTCACTTAAAATAAAAATTATATGAGGAAGAAAACAATAAACAATAAAAACAAAAATTAAAAAAACAAAAAATTAAAAATAACGTACAAAAACAAAAAGAAAGTTCTTTCATTTTTTTTTTGTGGGCTGGGGGATAGGAAGATTCTGTATTTCCCTTGTGTCAGTAACCAGACTCTTGGTGGAGTCCCTGGTCGGCTTGTGGTGTTTGGTTTTCCTGTGGCTTGATTTGTTACTTAAGGCAGTTTGTTTGGGCAAGCCGAAAAATGCTCTGCTTTGTGATCCTCCTCTCAGGCTAGTTCAGTGGGAGAGGGATCTGTTCTGAGTATTGCAAAAGAGGGAGATGCCTGTTTTCTCTTGTTTGGAGATGCTTTGATGAGGTTAGGTTCTGGGTAGAGTTGAGGCCTTTCAGCAAACAGTAGCTTTTCCCTGAGGGGCTAGCTTCTGAGACACTCACAGAGCACAGCCTGCAGCCTTTCTCAGAGTTTATGTTTACTGAATTTCAATAGAATGTCTAAGCTGCTTTAGGGAGGCACAGGCTCTGGCTCTGTTTACTCAGTGAAGAAAGCCACTCCCAGGGGGCAGATTTACTCTGCCTGGGGTGGGTGACTTTTTCCTGGGTGGAGTTGAACCTGGCAGGTCTGGGCAGGTTCATGTGACCTGCCAAATAGCTGTCTTGTTTTCTCCCAAGGCCTGAATTGGAACTGGCAACTCAGCCAAACCTTTGTCAGTATCAAAGATGGAGATCTCCAGTAATGGGGTGGGGCATGAATGCCTTCCCTCCTCTGATCCCTAAGAAGGAGTGAGGATGTCAGGCTTCTACTCCACGCTGCCGGAGTCTTGGTTCCTGGGTCGTCTCTGGTCTGCGATCTGCAGTGTGAAGATATCTGCTCCATGTCAGTTTTGCTGGTGTTGAGTAGAATCAGCTTGCCCGCTGCATCTGGTGCCTTTGTCCCAGACCCTCTGTGTTGCAGGTATGACGGCTCCGGGCACCGCCGCTGCTGCTGCTGCTGCCACAAGGCAAAGAGACACATCTGAGCACTTGCCAGGAGCGGCAAGTGCTCAGATGTGTCTCTTTGCCTTGATTTTCCCTCTCTGGCAAAACTCTCTGTACTGTGATGGCACACTTGGTGTAATTCTCTGGCCTAGTACTGTTCACTGGAACACTAAAACTGCTTTTTTATGCTAGAGCTTGTTTAGCCTCCAGCTTCTTCTCCGCCATCTTCCTGACCTTATCTTGAGGCTTATTTTATATTCCTGACATTTTTTCTACAGTTGTAGTTAATTTTTCATGATGGGCTAAGTGTATTATATTGGATATATGAAAGTAAACTGAATGCTTATCCCATTAATCCTTTGCCACTTGTCTAATACCAATATAAATTATCCATGTGTTTGATTTAATGAAAAAAACAACAGATATAAGCAAGATAAACCAGTCTGTTGTAGACAAGTATTTTCACCTTTATTTTGAAAGTTGGTCCTTTTTTTCACTACAGAATATTCTTGAGAAAATGTGCTCCAGGCTCTACAACTGAAGAATATTATGGTTTGATCTATTATAAGAGAAGGAAGGAAGGGTAACCTTCCTTCCAAATGTTTGATTCCAGGAATGTGATATGCTTTATGGTGCCTGCTTGGAAATGAACAATTTTCACAGTCAACCTTGGAACGCCATCTTGATAGACAACTTCTGTAAGTGGTTACAAAGCATTATTGATGGCTTTGCAAGGATGCCTGATTGCCTCATTGTGGGACAATTAAAACAGGAATTTAGTAAGCTGCTCTTTGTATCTTTAGAAAAACCCATCGACTCTAGGCCAGGGGATCACAGGGGCCAAGAGAAACTACTACCTTGAATAGTAATCCTAGACCTCTAAAACAAAACACACACACACACACATGCACACACACACACACACACACACACACACACACTAACAAATACACAAAAAGCACTCCAGTAAGCACAGCCAGGCAGGGTTGCTATCACAGCCTAAATGAAATCAGGCAAAAAACAGAAGCTGAGAGACATTTAGCTGATAACTAAAATATTTTTTATGAGGCAAACTCAAATGTGACTCCAGAGAGAGAGTCAGAAAGACTGATCAGAGACACTAAAATTGGTCACACAAAGATTGGAAAGTAGAATGCCTTGTAGAACAAATAAATCATAGAAAGCCTTTGCATGTAATAACAAGACAGCAGATCAAATTCCAGAAATGCACATTTTCTTAGTAGTCAGCTTAATCAACTATCAATACAAATCTTTGAATTCTTAAATATTTGACCATATGTGGGAGAAGGCTGAAGAGAAAGAAAATGTCATCATTCTCTTAGGAGGTCCAATATCACATTAATAAGTAATCTAGCAGAGATTTGTAATAAAAAGAAAACACAATTCTTCCAAATGAGGGTTTTATTTCTTTTGATGTAAAAGTTCTTAAATTAGGTGCTAGCAATTACCACACAATTGATCCAGTCCCTCAGCTGAGTTGATATTGACTGCAGTATTCCCACATGAAGGAAAAGAGAAAATTTACAAATGTCTGATGAAATGAGTTAAAGGTGAAGTGTTCTAATAATAGTATCTGTGGTTTAGACACAGGTGAAGAGGGCGATTTTCTTTTCTAATAATCCCCCATTTTTACCTGGTGCCAGTGGCTCAAAGCTATAATCCTAGCTACTCAGGGAGCTGAGATCTGAGGACTTCATTTCAAAGACAGCCTGGGCAAGAAAGCCCTGAAACTCTTATTTCCATTTAACCCCCAGAAAACCAGAAGAGGCACTTTCACTCAAGAGGTAGAGCACTCACCTTGAGTTGAAGAGTTCAGGGACAGTTCCCAAGCCCAGACTTCAAGCACCTCGAACAACAACAACAAATCCCCATTTCATGGACTGCCTTCATCTTCTCCTAACATTCAACAAAGGAGCCATTTTATCCCCCACTACCTTTAAGTCCTAAACTAGCTACTGGAAATAGATTGATTTGGTATCTTATATCAAACTGTTCATATTTGCGGAAACAAACACCAGCAGTGGTAAATTTTTTCCAGTCCTTCAACTCTGGGCCTGGGCCCTGAACATGGATATACTGGTAGCTTTCATGTGAGGCTGTTTGTTATTGATTGGATTACTGCCCCTGAGGGAAATTACTGGGTCTTAAGGGAGATATAGGTTTAGTCTTTTCAGGAAACTCCGTACTGCATTCCACAATAGTTGAACGAGTTTAATTTCCCACGAACAGTGTAATAGAGTTCCCAATTGTCCAGCATTTGCTAGTCTTAGTTTTCTTGGTAATGGCCATATTAACTGGGACGAGGTAGAATCTGTCTTGTTTACTTATAGATTTGTATGCACCTTCTAGTTTCAATAAATGAATGAATCCATGAAACCTATATTGCTCTGTGTCTGCATTCCTTTCTCTTTTCTATTAATATAATTTTCCCAAACTTTTTATTTTCCTTACCACTTGTGAAAAGTCATCTTTCTGATGGGTGAATATAATCCCATTGTGTGTGTGTGTGTGTGTGTGTGTGTGTGTGTGTGTGTGTGTGTGTGTGTGTGTGTGTGTAAGATGACTATATGCACATGAATTCATTTCTAAGCATTCTGTATCATCTGAAATTTTGTAATTCCGTATTAAAGTTGGATTGCTTTCTCTACTGCATGGAAGAATATTGTTAGGATTTTGATGAGTATTGCATTGCAAAATTGGGGGAAATATTGCAATGTTTAAAATGTTAATTCTTCTAACCAGGAACATTGAAAGACTTTCTATTTCCTTGAATCTCCTTCAATTTCCCTTTGTATATTTTTAAAGTTTTCACATATAGGTCCTTCACAATTTTAATTTAATTAATTCCTAGTTTTGTTGTTGTTGTTTTGTTCTGTGTAGATTTAATTTGTTTTTGAGGCTAATACATATAGGTTGTATTTTGAATTTCAGCGTGGATCTTCCCATTGTTGGTAACAGAAAAACTACTGATTCTTGTGGTTTTTATACCCAGCTACATTGCTGAAGGTTAGCATCACCTGTACTAACTTGAGGGAGGAAGCCACAGGGTCTTTTAAATACAGGGACATTTCATCTGTAAAAAGGGATAGTTTTACTTCTTCCATATTTGGATCTGCTTGATGTTTTTCTCTTGTCTATTGTTCTTACAAGAAATTCCACTACCATATTGAAGAGTAGTAGAGAGAGTGGACATCTTGTCTCATTCCTGATGTTAATGTCTTCAGATTTCCACCGTGAGGTAAATGCTAATTATCTGTGTCATATACATACTCAGTATTATATTGAGGAATGTTCCATGCATTCTTAGCTTCTCAGACCTTTTAATCATAAAGCGGTATTGGAGCTTGTTAAAAGCTATTTCTACATCCCTATAGACGATCATGTGTTTCTTGACCCTGCTTCTGCTGATAGTTTGTATTATGTTTATTCACAAGAATATTAAATCGACTTTTATCCAAGTTGAATCCTATTTGATCATACCATATGATTTTTTTTAGTTGCTGAAATTGGTTAGTGAGAATTTTATTAAGAAGTTCTTCTTTAATGCTAATCAAAGAGTTGAGTCCATAGTTCTCTTTCTTTGGTGAGTCCCTACGTGATTTGGGGAAGAGTCTAATTCTAGCTTCATAGAATGTGTTTGATAATGTGTCTCTCATAGATACTAGATGGATGCATTTTGTTTTTAAATGCTATCTAATCTATGTCTTCTATTTGGAAATTTAAGTCCATTGCTATTGAGAGTTAAGGCAGAAATATCTGATAAGTCCTGCTATGTTATACACCTGTTGTTAGGAGCTGTGCCTGATGAACTCTTAATAAATTTACCTTGAACTCTTGTAGGGAACATTTTATATAACCAGTTCCTGTTCTTCTTGATCTTCTCTATGTAGGATATATTTGATTAAATTCTATCATGCTGATTTGATGGAAATATGTTATGTCAAGTTGTCTTTGTCATGAAATATGTTTATTTATCCTTTAAATGTAAAGGAAAGTTTGGCTTGGGACCGTATTCACGGTTGGTAGTTGTTTACCTTTAGTGTTTGTCATACATCATTCCAGGCTCTCCTTTTTTACCATATCAGCTAAGAAATCTGTTTCTATTCTGACTGTATATCCTTTATAAATAATCAATCTTTTCTCTACGGCAGCTTTAAGAATCCTTTCCTTGATCGTTAATGATCCTCTAATGGATTATGATGTCATGGTGGATTGTTCAGTTCTAGAATTCTGTGTTTGTTTAAAGGCTTCTCTTCTCTGAATGAGCCTATCTCTTTGGATGTTTGGCATGTTCTCTGCTAGAATTCTGTAATATGTTTCCCATCCATTTAGTTTCCTGCTCTTCTCCTTCTTGATACCTATCTCCTCAAAATTTGATCTTCTAACTGAGTCTTGACGTTCTGGCAAGATCATTTCTTATTTCTTGGATTTGTTCTAAATGATTGTTTCCTCTTCCCTATTAGAGCTATTTTGTATTTGGCCCTGAGATTATCTTCTATGTCATCTATTTGCTGTGGAGACTTTCTACTTTGTTTTTGATTTCCCCGTCTTCTAGTTGGTAATATTTTAGGGGTTCTGTCTCTCTATTAAACCTTTGTTTTAGGTCTTTTATGGACTTTATGTACATTTTTTTTTGGATCCAGTCATGGGGACTTAACTCTGGGCCTGGGCACTGTCTCTCAGCTCTTCAGCTCAAGGCTAGCGCTCGACCACTTGAGCCACAGTGCCACTTCCGGGTTTTTTCTTTTTCTTTTTTCTTTTTTTCTTTTTTTTTTTTTTTTTTTTTTTTGCTTATGTGGTGCTGATGAATTGGACCCAGGTCCTCAGGCATGCAAGACAAGTGCTCTACCACTGAGCCACCTTCCCAGCCCTCTGTACATTTTTTCTTTGGGTAGGGGAGTTGCAAGCGTTGTTTTCTTAGCTGTGTCTTCTCTCATATCTTTAACTAGGCATCCATTTTTTCTTGAACTCCCTTGACTTCTCAGAATTTATTTATCTTTCTGTTTGTAGTCTTCATGAATTATTTTGCTAATCTTTGGTTGGTCTCATTTGTTCACAAATTTCCTTGTAGAGGTTTTCTATCTTTCCATTAATCACATTTTTCAGCAGTATCTGTAATACGTTTGATAACTCTCTTCTAGGTCCTTGATTGTCTGTTTTAATGCCTGGTTATTTACTGTGTGAATTATACTACCTTGAGGTCACTTTTCTTGTATTTTTCTGATTTGTTTTGTCCATTTGGAGGTTTTCTTTGGAGGATCTATGACCTTAATAGGTGACTCTCTATGTTCTTGGTTGATTTGCCAGGTCTTTGTTTGGTCTCCTGTTATGATTTGTTTTTCTGGAATTGCATTTTTGTCAGGTCCATTTAGTGTAGTAATAGAAATCAGTTGTGGTGAGATGTTGTGATGTTAATATTTGTGGTTCCAGTGACAGTTCGGAATGTCCAGTGGTATGGTGAATTGTCTATGTGTACGGATGTGGCTTTCTCTGATGTATGCTTCTGTTCCTGCTTTTTTCCATGTTGCCCATTTATTTCCAGACTGCAGATGTGCTTTTGAATGTGTTGGCCAACACAGTCATAGCAGTCAACTACCTGGCTGGCACCTTTTCATAGAATTCCGATTTTTTTGTGAAGACAGTATAAAATCTTCTTATGAATTATATGTTTATAGTTATGTCAATTTTTATAGCTGCATATCTATAATTATAGCTGATTTGATGTGACCCTCTAGAAGTGGAGTAACTGCTAGGACTATAAACCTCTGTTTCATTAGAGATTGCTAGGATAATTTTCTGTTGTTATTCTGTCATTGTTTTTCCTCTTCCTCAGGTTTATTTTTTATATTGTGTATGTTTTCACATAATTTAGGATTTGTAATTGTTGTATCAGGTTATTTTTGTTTTTCTGCTTATATTACGTTGAAGTAGTGATTTCAGGCTTGTATGAAGAAACAGAAAGAGACAGAATGTATCTTATTACATTGAGAGAAAGAAGACATTTTAACCTATTTACTACAAATAAATTCATATTAAGCAAAGCTAATGAAAATAATTACTTTTTTACTCTTCAAAGGATGAGTATAGTATTCTTGGATATCTTGGAAGAAAAGACTTTAGACTCATTGCAATTGCTAACTTACATTGAAATTACTGCCTAAACGTTCTTCTTCAGAAAGGCAAAAGCTCCATTGCTTTCATATTAGTATTATAAAATCATAATAGATGCATGTTGAATTGTTTTCCTCTGCTTTTTTTTCAATTCCATTCTTCATCCATGAGGTATCTAGGGCTTTGAATAACCAATTCCTTAAAATATGTGTATTTCTTATATTGTGACGTAAATCTCAGTAATATAAATATGAATTTATCTTTGATTCTTATCTTGAGCTACATTCATATGAAATTTATGGAGTCTCAAACAAGAAACCTGACTATTTTACTCTATTCTATGTTTTAATCAATCAATCCATTCTCTTTAGAAATATGTTCTCATCTTTTATATTGCTCCAGTAAACAGAATGTGTTTCTAGTAGTTTTACTGACGTAAATATAAAGTTTGGAACAAGAAGACAACCTCCCCCCATTATCACTTTAAAGAAAACCCTTGGGGATTATTTTATATATAAAAATAAAAAAGTGCAATGCAATGTTTATACATGAATAACATAATGGTTAAGTCAATTAGACATAAGAACTACCACAGCAATTCTCAATTGACTTAAAGGCACCAAAATATTGTGTTCATCAATATCAGTCATTTAAAAAAATAACTAGTCAATACAAAGTTTATATTATATTCGAAATTTATAAAATGAAAATTACACTCAGATTTGTTGTCAATAC